CTCTGCAGGGGTCTGGAAAGGATTTTCCAGGGTGCAGCGCTGGGTCTCCAATTCAGTGAGCCTGACCTCCAGAACTGTAAATACACAACATTCCTTTCAAGTATCATTATTGCCTAACAAGGCAGAGAAGTAGCAAAAGATCTGACACACTGATCACTGAGGAAAATACAGGAGAAACAAGTGAAGGAGCCACTGGCTCAACTACAATCTGTGATAAGCTAGAAAATTCAAAAGCACAAAGTGAATGAATAATGTGAATATAATTACAGGTGATTGAACAAGTTTGACTTTTTGCTGGCAATGTGGACCAAGCTCTCATAACGTGCCAGAATATCTTTTGGAGCGACCTCAGAGCTGTGGCATCACTCGGCATCATTTCATGGACTCGCCATAAACAGCTGTGAGAGCTTGTCAGCTTGGTGCTGAGGCCACAAAGAAGAAGCAGAGCCTTTTCACATAGAAAAGTCTACGAGATCAAAGGCTGACTTGGCAAAAATGGATTAAAATTACACGAAATAACACTGAGGTGTTATTTTTGCAGTCCAGTACAAGAGCACCTGGCTGCAGCCACTGGGAGCATCATATTGCGACCTCCACACTAACCGGAATCACGTAACTTCAAAATAAATTTGGTTCTAAGTGTTTTTGTTTTGTTTTTTTATAATTGTACAAACGAACAATTACAGCGCATATCTTACTAATCGAAAAGATATGTACACGTATAGGTGGTTAAGAACAAAGCAGCCATCGAACAAAAGAACACTATAGGTCAGAAATAACATAAAGCAGCATACAAGTACATTAAGTGACCTTCAATATAAAAGTTAAAAAACAAAAGTACGCACACACAGTCTAGCTACATCAGTTGAAAAGCAGCATCAAAAATTCAAGTAAGGTGTGAGCTTTATTTAAGTTACACTTGTCTAATGAAGCCTTCAATAGAAGGACTTCGTTTTTAAAGCCAGCAAAAATCGGAGTAATTTTCAAGAAGCGACATTTATGAATGAAAAATTTTGCAACTATAAATAAGTTGTTAATTAATAATTTTTTTTATTTTCTGTTTGTAGGCAAAATCTAATTACTTGAAAGGTTAGAGAAGGGCGGTCAATATTTTTAGAGGTTAACCAGTACTGAAAATCATCCCAAAAAGATCTGGAACTTTCACATGAATAAAAGAGGTGCTCTGTAGTCTCAATAGGGCTTTGGAGTTGACGTCAAGCCGCAGTGCATTGTGGAATTGCGGCGCCATGTCAGTAGGCCAGGAAGCAGAACAAGCGCACAGTGGTCGTGTCCAAATTCATGGGCTGCATCCTCCTGAGGACCCGGCCTTCACGGTCTACGTGGGCCGGGTCCTCAGGAGGTCGGGTAGGCCGGAAGTAAACGGCTGTGGAATTGGACGGTCTAGCCTTCTCGATCTACTCCCGCCCTTAAATCAGAGTATTTCCGGTCGTCAGCGCCACGGCACGAAAACGTGACAGACGTCACCGAAAACGTGACGAACTTGACAAACAAAGCAGATATTTGAAGTTTACACACCCACATTCTCGCCTGAAAATATGTTAAAAGTTTATTTTGTGACCCAGAAAGATTAATAAGAGTAATTTTAAAACTTAGTAGCGGCCGCCATTAGCCGGAAACTGGAGCTTGGCTGGGCCGCGCTATGAATTCTGGGATATGGTGGGCCACGAAGGACACACCCGACCCATCCTTCAAATTCGGGGAAAAGGAGGACGCATTTGTCGGCTGCATTCGGAGGAGTCTATGAATTTGGACAGCCTTAGGGAGAAAGATGGCGGAATAAGCGGTTGTACAATCTGCGGGTCTGATTAAGAAACGTGATTTTGATGTCCTGTAAAATACTTTACTGACAAACTGTTACTCCAAAGGAAGTAGAACGCAAGCGAAACCCCCTGGAAGTTACTTTGACAGACCTTCAGGCTAGACACAAAGATAAACTTAGAGGATAAAAATGGCTAACCCCAAGCTAGCAGGTAGCCTCTCCGACCAGATTACAACCTTGCTGCTATGCGAAGCATGTGAGGATGAAGATATAGAAGAGATGGAACTTCAGAAAGAGATCGGAAGACCCATAGGTGACCACACTCCGTTACCAAGTCCCAATTCCAAAAAAATGAAAAGCAAAACTACTGAGAAGCAGGTGAGCATCGAGAATGTATATGAAGTTTTGCTTGGCTTCACAAAGAGATGCGAGGAAAGGTTTGATTTGCTTGAAAAGAAGTTGGAAGCCTTCGAACAACGCATTGAAGTAAATACACAGGCGACCCAAAAAAACAGAGGAAATTGACAAGCTGAAGACGAAGGTGGAGTCGCTGATGAAGGAAAACAAAGAATTAAAGGAGAGCTGTCTGGAGAGTGCACGTTACCGCAGAAGATGGGACCTCAGAATTTTGGGTCTGACAGAGAAGGACAACGAGAATACACGTGAAACAGTGATCGGCATTCTAACAAGAGTGGTTCCTGTATCAGTGGAAAAACTGCAGCTCATGGTTGATACAGTACACCGACTGGGGAAGAAAGACAATGCAGTGAGCAACAAGGTGCCAAGACCAATCATCATACAGTTCAGCATGAGGACGGCAAGGGATGAAGTATGGAGGAAATCCAAGGAGGCCAGGGTCTGCAAAGAACTGAACATAAAATTTAAAGAAGACTTCTCCAAAGAAGACCGTGAAGCTCGGATCAAGCTGTGGCCCAAGGTGCAGGAAGCTCGAAACAACGGCAAAAGAGCATTCCTAAAGGAGGGTTATGCAATAATAGACGGTAAAAGGATCGATCTGTGAGATGCACTTGAAGAAGTCACTACAAGTTAACCATAAAAATGTGGGTATGTATGTGTGTATATATATGTTTATATATACATATCTGTTAAAAATACACAAATAAAAATAGGAGAGGGTCAAAAAGCAAAGTCGTAGTTAAATGTGAGCTATCAGAGCTAAAATTGCCGCATATATAAAATGTATAGGGGGTAGTACTGTGATAGGGTCTGAGTACTGTTATGATTACCTATGTAGGACACTAGGCTTATTCCTGCTTCAAGCACTCTTTTCTTCTAGTAAGTGCCAAAGAAGCCGATACCGTTCTTGTTTTGTATTTTGTTTTTGCTTTGTTTTCTTGTTTTTTCCCCTTCATCTTATATATGGCTGTTCTATTAAGTTCTTTAAATGTTCGAGGCTTAAAAAACAATGTCAAATGTAAGGCCATGTTTCTATTCTGCAAAGAATTTAAGGCAAACATTCTTTTTTCTTTTTTTTTTTTACAAGAAACACATTCTAGTAAGGAAGAGGAAACATTTTGGAAACATCAGAAAGTATTCTTTATTCGCATGGTACTACTCACTCAGCAGGAGTGATGATTTTAATTAACAAATTTGCAGGGAAGGTTATTGATCATAAAAGTGATGGAATGGGACATTGGATCATGGTGTTGATAGAAGTCTGTGAACAGAAAATTATTCTTATCAACGTGAATGGATACAATAACAGGTCTCTAAATAGAAACATGATGTCAAACTTAAGTAAATTAATTGCAAACTGGAGTAATGAGGACGGCTAGTTCTACCCAGGTAATAACTGGAGGCATTTTTAACCTGGCACCTAACTCATGGCTTGACAGGCAACCACAGAGAGGGAAACAACCAGAACACGATAGCATTATTTGTGACTTTTGTACAACAACTAATATGATGGATTATTGGAGGATGACAAACCCAAATACGAAGAAATACACTTGGTTTAGTCCAACAAATAAGAACGTATGTTCAAGAATAGATTATTGGCTTGTCTCCTAAACAGTATCATCATATGTTACTAAATGTGAAACCTAATCAACCCCACTTACTGATCATTGTCTGATAAGTCTCTCATTATCTCTATGTAAACAACAAAGATCTGAAAACATATGGAAATTTAACAATAGTTTATTACAAAACAAAGACTTCTGTACACAAGTTAAAAAACTTCAATTGGAAATTAACAATATGAGGATGACTAATGCCAGTAAATGGGAATGGTTAGTGTTAAACAACTAGCTATAGAAACGGGAAAGAAAGTGTCTGCCCTACGCATAC